AAAATATAATCCTTACATAATTGTATAACAATATTTTTTACATACCTATCTAATGTAGGACCATCGCAAAATATTTATTTCTCAGAATCAGTTATCAGAAACGGCATTATTTAATTCGAAAATTCACTTAAATTGTACCGGGAATAAATTTTTCAACGCACGCCTTGTAGACATGAAACGAGCCACTGATTCCACTTTTGTCCACTAGAAGTCGTTAGATTCTGCTAAATGGTTACTCCATAGTAGATTCTAAATTCTTGTTGAGTGTAGTGGGAATTTTCAGCGTCCAGTTCATAGGCTGCCTAATTCAAAGGAACTCTTTCTTAGTCGGTAGTCCAATGAGGGTAACGCTTTGCTGTCGTCAGTGTAAAGCAAGCAAATTTCTTTTTACTATTAGTGAAAATTTCGTATGCATTTATGTAGTTTAAGATTCTCTATAAAATTCTAATTTGACATTATTCTGGGTGGCCCATGGCCTTGAAAGAACTTTACGACAAAATCGAAAAACAAGTTTTTTTCGTTATACCACCCTATATCTAGAGTTTTACCCCTTGCCTTCGGGATCATCTACCCTTAAAATTCTTGTATGAAAAGAAGAGCCGAATTGTAGCTCCTTTAGGAATTTCATTTAATACTTCTCTTTAAAAGTATAATTTTTTAAAATTTATATTTCTCAACTTTACCACCCTTACCAAATCTGCTTCAGATCGATTAAAACGGCTTATATCATCTAATCTTACTTTTTAATAAATAATTTAATAATGAATAAAAAACAACGTGCGAGGTCTATTTTTATAACAGTAATTTATTTTATTAATAAATGGATTGTAAATATTATTAATATTAGTATTATTGTTACACTATATAATTTATTCAAATGGTGTACCTAGTTTATATCGGAATTAATTTTTTGTTTGTCATTTAGACACTATTGAGAGAAACAGTATTTAAAAATAAGTCTTCAAAATCGATTGTTATAAATATATTTTACATAAAGTATTAAAATTATTAAATTACCCCGTAAAAAAACATTTTATTATAGGTCAGTTTTTTCATATCAAAAATTTTTGAGAAATATGGGTATTATGCAACAAGTGCGGTAGACGGCATTTGACTCGCGAGCTTCTTTGGGAAACGAAACTGACGTGGTAAAGTAACGCTTCTCGCACGCTAGATCGGTGTATAATAAGGTATTTTACACACGAGAGTAAAAAAATACATTGGTAATACGAAGTAGTAGGGGAAATAAAGCGAAATTTTTTGGAAATATTTATCGAAGTTTTGGTAGGTGGTTTCCCCCTCGCTTAAAACTATTAACTGTTTAACTACTATATTAATTAAAATATAAAGCTTGCTTTAATAATTGAAAAAAAGCTATAAGGAATGGCAGTACATGGAAATGAAAAACGGCTATTTTCTTGCAAAGTGTTCATTACAGAGTAACGAGTATTATAAACCTTTTTTCCTCGATCAATAGTGGCGAGAGAGGCAACCCCTTTGGCATTATTGATTTTAATTCAGATTTGCTCTGATAATACAAAAGAATGTTAGTAATAAGTGTATTTTTTTATAGTCTGCAAATCCGTTATTTAAGTTTTTGAAAAAATGCTATACGAGCTTTAATATTAACTCATTGAGTAGAATCCCCCTTAAATTTCCCGTTTTGAATCGTAATTAAATAATAATATAATTTTTAGAGTTTAAAGATTATAATTAGCATTGGGTCCATTGAAATGTTCAGCCTCATTTTTCTATTTTCGAATATGTCATCCAGCCACTGGAGTTAATTTATTTGGGCACGTTTTTTGAAACGTTATGGATCACAGCCAAGAAATTTACTTCGGCGTCCTTAACTGAAACGGAAGTGAAACTCTTATTTTATTCTTTATAAGTATATACATCCCTCATTACGCTTTTGTTTTTATTTTCCTCATTTACGTTTTTTAAGTGTTCATATTCATACTTATTTATGTGTATTTTTAAGTGGACAACTTAAGAGTTTTGTTAAAGACCAGTAATAAACAAAAGCATTTGATTATGCAGAAAAATATGGAAACCCCATTGTGGTTTTCCAATTTTTCGTCATTTTGAAAATTGCTCTTACCTTTGGATTTGATTGCTTTTAATAAACTATATTAAGAATGATATCACAGAATTTCAGCATTCCTCCAAACAAAAAAGTTTATATAGAGAATATATAATTAGGCAGTTTTTGACGATGATGATGTGTAAGTATTGCTCCGTCTGGTTAGGAACTGTGGTTTTTTCAATAAAACCTGACGTGACTCAACGAATACTTAAGTCAGTTTCATTGTTTGGCATTGATTTGGTTGCAAAATTCTTTCTTTTCAATGAGTGCAGGTAGTACCACGCGAGTTTGGGGAATTTATGGGGTGTATTTGTTGTTATCCATTCACCAACAATAAAAATGGTGTGCTATAGGCGTCCCGGTAGGATACCCTTTTTTGTTATTAATATTTATACAAAAAATACATTATACAGAAATTAAATTGCGTCTTATATAGTTTCAAATTATAAAGGCGTCTGAGTTACAGTATATCTCTTTGTATCTTCGTAGAACGAACGACGTTCGAGTAAATTTGTTATACTGGGTGGAAATTATAAAAGGCTCCACGTTGTTTTTATCTAATAATATTTAAAAAAAATACGCAGAAACGATTTTGTTAGCATTGTTGCATTTTGTCTATTTTGAAAATTTTCCCTTTTTACCTTTACAATTGAAATAAGTAAGGCGGGTTAAGTGGCAACTCATTTTAAAAATCTAAAAAAAGTTGATTAAATTTAGATAAAAAACAATAAAAATAATGTGAAAATTTTGTCGATTAGTTTTTAAGTTATTGTTTCAAAGGTTAAAATGGAGTAAACAAGAAGAAATTTTTCATACAATTTTCAAAAAATTTAAAAATTTTCGTACTGTTTTCATACGCCGTAATTAGCTTTTTGAGATAGTTCATCGAGATAAGTTCAGTGCAATGCATGATTTTTAAAAATGATGTATTTTTATTTCTTTACAGAAGTAAGTACCAAACAATTTAAACCAAATGCTCAAAGTGGACACCATCTTCTTTCATGCAGTACTAATGCCTTTGTTCAAAGTCTCTTTTGACATTTTCCAACATTCCTGAAATTATTTTTCTGTATTCATCTACTTTTATTTGCAGAAATTGCAGAAATCTTGGTCTAGTTAGGAACACTTCACGTCTTAAATATCCCTTTAAAAAAATCTCATGTTTATTATTTAAAAATTCTATCACAAAAGCATTATAGTGAGGCGGAGTACCATTTTGCTGAAAATGTGGGTTATTGATGTTATGCTGTGGATCAGTTTCAACCGCTTATTAGGTTGTCGATTTCGTTTTCCAAAAATAGTAAATACATTTTTTCGTTAGTATTATCTGAGATAGAAATTGACCCAATCATGCAGTGGCCAAGTATCATTGCCCAAACATTCATTCTTTGTGAGTGTTGTGCATGCGCTTGGGTAAGCCAGTGGGTATATGAGTCTCTCCATTAGCGACTGTTATGCCTGTTTACCCACCCGTTTAGGCCTAAGGAGCATTTTCGCGAAAATTTCTGCCTTTCTAAAAGCTGAATTTTGTAAGGGTGCGCCTGCGTTGGTGTTTGGTGTTAAAGACGTACCCAGTAGCTTCAAACTTTTGAATTAACCTACCCATATAAGAGTCTATTATTTATTATTTGTTCTTACTATGGATGAATAGCATTAAAAATTCGAGCATCGTCCTTAGCACAACTATTATTTTGATAATAAATTGAGACAAGTTCAATTCTATAATTGGGTACCTACGGGTAAAATTGAATTACGTCTACTACTTAATACATCAATAGTGAAAATGGGAAAGTTTAAAAAAAAGCAGTTAAAAAAATACACAAAAAGATAAACTTTCAAAGAAAAAAATAATAAAAAGGCACCTACTTATTTACCTATTTATTTATTTATTTTTACATTTATGGCCCAATTTTATTATCTGCAACTATTCTAGTGGGTAAGTAACTACCTAGTGTTGTGGAATTGACCGGTCAATTGACAGAAAATAATTTTAGAAATAAAATCAAATTTATATTTATTTATTTATGTTTACTTATATTGTACGTTACGTTGCCGTCACGTCGTTCTGAGAACTAAATAGAGTGGACATTTTTTATTGGGATTCCCTAAACGCCAAGTATCGTATTCAGATATTCCTTGACAGACTCTACAATTGCAGGACATTATTTAAAACATTTTGATCGAATTTGACTTGTCAATTAAGAAGTGGTCAATTGACCATTCCCAACACTATAGCTACCAACATGTAAAAACTGACTTAGAAATAAAAAATAATTGATTAATTTGGATAAAATATTAAAAGAAATGTTTTTGAGTACTCTTTGCTAATAATTTATCTATTAGGGCTAAATTACCCTTTGAAAACACCAAATCATATTAGCACATTTGAACAAAATGTCAGGCATACAGACAATTCACATGTACCGTCCTGTCTGGCTCAAGCGACGCCTACCTGTATATATTATTTATCTTTTATGAAAAACCTTATACAATTTATGGAGCAATTATTGAAACATTTAAATAATAATAATGACTACTGCACCATCCTGTATACTAGACCAAAAAAAAGTGAAATCAATAAAAAATTGCTAATTATAATTTGATTTCTACTTTGTTCAAATTTCATTGACTAATTTCATTATTTGTTCTTTCCCGCAAGCTTTTAAAAATTATATGCAACTTGAATAAAATTATTATTAATATTATTCTATATCCGATATAATAAAAACAAAATGTTCGTTAAAATAATTATGTACTTAAAGAAATCGGGTCGCTATATAGCCTTACTCAATCTGGTTATACAATTTCGATCCCTTTTAAGGAAATGTACGAAAGTGGCCATAGCCGCTTTAATATTTTTTAAACTATATCTGGCTAATGTCTTAACTTAAAAATATGATTTGCAGTAACTATTCGAACCTTGCGCGTCTCTGTTGGGTGGTAACGTAGATCGAGAAATTTTTAACTTGGGAGTTTGCTGTTGTATGTATGTGATAGTGGATTTAGGGGAGCTTAAAAGTGTGTTTTTATCAGTGGACATTGATTGTGTTTCCGATAGATCATATTTTCGTAGCATAATTTGTGTAAAATAGTCTCATTGGCAAGAACAAAGATCGATTGCCTTCCATTGCACGTTTTGTAGTTTCTCTTGGAAAAGTGATAAAAAATAATAACAAAAAAACTAATAGCAAAATTAGGAAAGCAAAATTATGCAAAAATGGAGGACATGGAGTAGTTTGACCAATGAATTTGATCACGAGCTTGTGAAAGATGAATATTCCTATATACCATTAATATGTTCCCTAAATGGTATCGAGTGTCCTAGCAAAGACAATAATTAAATTTATTTTCTAAAATTTATTATTCTAATATTTAAAATAAAAATAAAATGTTGTCATTTATCTTTATTGTTTTTTATTGATTACTAATCAAATGTTGAACACCAATTTTATTAGCTATTCACGTATTTTAGTAGCAAAATGTGGAAAGCCATTTTAGGAATACATAAAACATCTCCTTTGACAGAAATAATTTATTCCTAATTATCAAGATCGCCATGACATTTTGCTTTTATCTGACACTACCCATATTTTATGGGCCGATTGTCAAAGTCTCGTCTTAAATAGTTAAAATTCGTCTGAATTGTCTCACTGTGCGTGTGTTTATTGCATTGCAAATTTCTTATTGAAACCGGAGCTTGTAGCAATCCAGTGCCTAGTGAAATCGACGCGTTTTATTACTTTAATTGAATAATTAACAAAAATAGTCTATAACAATTGATTAGTTTTGGTTAGTTGAATAGACCTAATTTTTATTGAAATTATAAGTGGTAATAAATTAATTATTCAAAACGTCCAAGGTTCACATGCAGTCATATCAGTTATTGTGCACTTTGAAGTATTGTAGAAAAAGTAATAAAGACAAATAACAAAATTTTTTTCACAACATTTAACTTTTTTTAGTTTTAAGTTCTTTCATTCATATTTTAGGTTAGGATAAAGATATGTGAGTTATGCGGTAAAACAATTTCAAGTTTATTAAAATGAATCAAGTCTTTCACTGACGTTTATTTCCCAAATTATCGGAAATTTCTGCCGACCGTAGGTAATGATGTGGACACTTAATCAGTGCATAATTGGGTATTTTAAAGTAGAGAGTAAAAAAAGCACAAGAAAGTATAGTAAGCAATACGTTGATAAACCTCTAGCGACTCGTTCATTAAACATTCGAAAACAAACTCGTGACTAAAGTGTGGACTATCAAACTTTTGGATGTATAACATCTTCCAGTAGGAGAATTTTGATATAAACTACTATTCTTGCTTTTATTTATAAACCGTGAGGGCATACAGATTAATTGCAAAAACAGAGATAAAATACTGCCCACGAATTTTTAATTACCCGTTGTAATATGTACACCATTCAGTCCTATTCATCATAACGTATGTATTTGTATACACACACGCAGTGTTCGATGTTGAGCATAAAATTCTAAAAATAATCGTTTAGCTAAAAGCGGATTTTTTTAATTGCGGGATATATCTTACGTAAACAGATTGGCTTCCAATGTCATAAATTTGTAATTGACTTGGGTGGAGGTGCCTGTTTATAGAGCGATCTTCTACCGAGTGATTAAACACCAACTGACCCCTCGTTTTCTTATGTGAATAGCTATAAAGCTACTACAATTCCTTTTCCGATTTACTTACATACAATAGTTTGCTTCAAAGTTGCAGCAATATGTTTTTTAAATATTGTACTTCGTTTTTCTTTCGCAAGCTCTTGGAACAATAATGTAATATTAATTTAAACCGTCTCTGGGGGAAATGATTTCAGATTATGTGGCGATGATAGCAATAACCACAAAAAGTCGTTTTACTATTATTAATTGTCGTATGGTATTTCAAACATAAATGGCAAATAAACTTCTTTCTTTTGCCAATAAAATTGTTTGACAAGCTTAACATATATTTTGGAAGGATAAACTTATCATTAAAATGAAGAGAAGTATAATTTTTTTAAGTGAAGAAATTATGCGATGAAGAGTTTTGTTTCGTTGGATGGATTCCTTTTCTTAAAAAAGCGCCTATGCAATATATGTGACTATCAATGTAGGTCACCAAGATATTGAAGATGATTTTAATCACAAAATTGAACATTAAAACCTTGCTGTGGTGGCTTAACGTAATCCAGAAAAATCTCCTGATCGAGCAGCTACTGCCAGACTAATTTAACTTTTGAAATGTTTCGTAGAAATATTTAAATATTTAATTTAATCATTTGTTGCCTGCGAAAGATCGAAATAGAATGTGCCTTTTCTCTTTAACTCCATGCAGTCATGGGTTTTTTTAAAATTTTCCACTCTTTTGCCCCTATTGTACAAAGTACAAGAAAGTTGTAAAGTCACATAATCTTTCAGGTGCAACGCATTTTTCACTTTTCAAATAAAGCCAAGTGCTAAGTACTAACAAAGTCGCCTGCTGCACTAGGGCCCAGGTCTCAAGAAAAACGTTATGGCATGTGTACTCTAAATATTTCTATATAGGGTGTTTGGCTAAGGATTCGTTAGCGGGCTTATAGACCCGTTTTGAATATATTTCATTACTAGAGCTGTGCCATAAACGTCCCAGATTTTTTTATGTGTAATATCTTTTATATTTGGCAATGTCCGTTCACAATTCATTATTTCGGTAGAGTTTGTGACTTATTATGACAAGTTACGTTTAGGATACAGATCTATTAAAAAAATATATTAGCAATAGGGTGGCTACATATCTACCAAGTTTGGCCAAACACCCTGCACATCATAGGAAAGCCTAACTAAAACTTACTCTAAATATCGGCTAATCCTGGAAAACTCGACGCATTTGTAAATGGAAATTTGGCAATAAGCAATAACCAATTAATGTTTTCTTCTACGAAAATATTGTTTATCATGATTTACTTGGTAGTTAATATTAAGTCTTAAGTGGAATATGTCATATGCCGGTACGGAACCTCATCATGGAATTAAACCATCAGACCTGGTCACCTGACGACTGCTGAGAAATTTAACTGTTTCAGATTTTCTGGATAAATAATTCGTTATTATGTATATTGCACAATCAATAAGGATATTGAATAGTAATACATACGATATAATTTTTCGCATTGTTCTTAGCATAAGCTTAAAGTGACGTCATCGATCTTTATTATCAACGTAATACAACCATACGTCCAACCATTTATTTTCGATAACATTTGTCCTTCCTAAGAAAATAACCAATGCGAGACAACCCGGGTTAAATCTAATCTGACAAGAAAATTAGCTGGAAAGGCGTTTATCCAGCTGGCACGAGAAACGAGAGCGGAATAATGCCACTTGGGTTATTATAAAATCCAATGGCGAAATTTGACAATTTTTTCTTTTTCTCAAGGTTCCATTTCCATTTAGTGAAGGTTCGATAAAATCTCAGCCAATCCCATTCGGTCCGTAGCAGCTTCGGACAGGGTGTGATCATCTAAGATAGTGCATTGTCAGATATTCTTAACCCGGGAGTATTTTCTTCTCATCTTCCGTTATTAGTGTAAAAAGCCGGCATTTAACGACCTTGGTGATTATTAGCAATAACCATTCCTGTTGGGCTCTTCTGAATATTTCGTAGTTCGTAACATATGCTCCCTAAGATCCACATTTTGAACGCTTCTATTTTACTGAAAAAACTCAAGTTTCAAGGTATTTTTTTCATTGTTTTTTCATTTGGTGGAGGTTCACGTGATTTACTTATAATTATTACTTTGGTCAATCCTGACTTCTCTTCCATTATACTTAATTTGTTTAGCAAGCGTTGAATTGCTGATTTGAAAAATTCGATCAGTTAAACTCTCAAGACCACCAAAAGTTTTAAGCTAGCCAATAGAAATTTTTTGGGTTTTTGGGTTCTTGTTTGCTAAATTTTTCTTTACTACAAATTCCTACTTTGTGAGTTCTTCTGGTGCTGTAAATCTTTGTTGGTGGTGTACCAATCTAAGAACTAATTACCCCCCCCCCCTTGTACTTATGGTAACTTCGTACATTTTGTCCCAATGACGTCACTTTAAACATCGTACTGTCATTATATCGGCAGCCTAGTCGCGTGCGAATGGCTCACCTTGTAAATGCGTATCGCTTATTTCGACTTGGCAGTTTGAATCGTCCACCGAGGCTTCCTCTACTCGTATTTTCGAACCATTATTACTGTCGAACGGCGCGCCGTTCTAAATCCGTTAAGGCTCGCGCGCAGGCGTAAATTAATTTTCGAAAAAAAAAAACAAAAAACAAAAATGTGTCGTGCAATGTCCGCCGACAACCGTATGTTTTTCTAACGCGGGTGACACGTGATCAGGTCCGATCCGCCCGGCCAACTTCGATTAATTTTTCGGTTTTTGACGGCGACGACGCGGATTTTGCAATTTTGGTCGCGTGACGTTCGTTTCGAATTTTGGCGCGAACCGCAAGCGTTCTCGTCATGGATAGGTCGATGTACGGCAAGGTAATCCCCGGCACGCTGCATCCGTACGAGTGCACCTTAAAGCATGGGACGTCACCAGGATGTAAGTTTTTGTTTGTTAGGCTATTATAAATGTTTTTTACAGAAATTGTTGGTCAAAGTTTGGTTCTCGAAATTGTCATTTCTCTATGGCTCTTGGATTCGGGGTTTTTCGATATAGCAAATACGATTAAATTCTAGTTTTTCACTTAATCTGTAGAGGGCCTTCGTTACGAATTATAATTTCTGATTCCATGCTATAACATGTTTGTTAGTACCATTCCCTTACTATTTTTTGAAGATAGAGATAGAGTGATAATTTTTAAGCAAAAAAGGTATACTACATTTGTTTCTACAAAATACTCCGTTTTCAAAATTATAAAGGTAACGGAACCTTACCAAGAAAGTTAATGAGTTTTGTTGGGTTTATTCTTTTGCTTAATAAACTCTCGAAATCAAGCTTTCATGCCCATATTTTAAAAAGAACTTAACAGTTTTGAGAGCTAAAGAAGAGTTTAATTCAGGATGGCTTTCTGGCGCATTCATTAGGAACCACCCTGTATAGTGCTTTCACAGGTAAATGGTTTTGGCTTTTTGCATGCTAGAAAACTCCCTGTGACGGGGCCATTGTGTACAGGAGGGCTTGGCAATAAAAATGCTGCCAATGAGAAATGTAGAAAGATGTGCGGAAAGAAAACAATATATTGACATAATAGTTTTATAATTAATATACTTAAACCCAGATTTATATTATTTTCTGTTCTGTGTGTTATTGTCGCTATCTTCATTTAAATTCATTGTAATGGCTTTAACAATTTATTTCTATTGGAAATATAGGAATTTTCTACAGTGAGAACTAGTTAACCAAATTTTTCCAAATTTTCGTTGGCGTGTCATTAACATTTTTTAATTAAATCTGCAATACTAGCACTTAACGAGTCCCAAGCATAAACTTTTCTTAATGCTTTTAAAATTTTTCAGGTCACTTTTGTTATAGCTTGCTGTGATATATTTCCATAACCATCGAACCTAATTACTAAACTTTATTCTGAAGAATCTTCGAACAATCTTTAACTTTGTGCAGGTATCATCAAAATTACGAGAATTATAAAATGATAAACCATACCAGAATATCAAACAAAAACGCATAACATTTATTTTAAAATTGCTTAATATAATTAATGTCTTTAATTTATAGTATATTTTCCTAAAGTTGCCGATTTATTGTTTAAGCTAAATTTTATTTTGCATTCTAGAATTATAGTGTCTTATTTATTACACTGAAATTAGTGTAAATTTATCAATTTTTTTCAGAATATATGCAGGATGTCCCTTGAATATGTAGTCTAAAATATTTAAATTAAACATTAATAATGTCAAAAAATAAGATATTAAATAGTTCATTTAAGTTCATATAATTAATTTGTTTAAAGATTTTAGTAAATACTGACGAACTGTCCACTATTGTATAAACACACCCATTTTTCATGGCAGATACCAATAACCAAGGACTCAACAAGGACATTTTTTTAGGTCCGACAAATATAATTTTCATATAAAGTATGAAATGTATGTATTCATTTGTAGAAAAACGAAAAATTTATGGAGAGAATCTGAATACGCCACTATTTCTGACTCAAAGAATTGACCTATTAATAGTTTTATTTATTATTTATTTTTAGTAGTTGTCAATTTTCATAATGAGCAAAAAATTGAAAAACATTTTTTGTTTGATAAAATTGAAATGTGAAATGAATAAATTATGTTTTCTACATCCTATACAGGAAGTTGCATTTAATAAAACATAATGTTAATTTTTATGTCAGAAAATTGACAGCGTTTTGATTGATGTACGAATAAATGGAAAAATTAGTGTTAAAGGCGTAAGAAGCTTGTTTCTTACCTATGAATAACGTATTGGTTGTTGAGTTTAAAGTCTGTTCATAGATATAAGAAAGTGACTAACTGAGACGTATTAAGGAAAGACCCGGGCAAGCTATAGGAATGAAATATGGCCGAACAGGTCCGTACTTTGCTTAGAATTTAATTATTTGTGGTTTTATTAGCAAAGATACTAAACAATATTTATTTATTTATGTATGTATTTATGTTTAAATCTAAAATAAAATTACAAATTATTTTTATTACCTACTTAAATTACTTAAAATTATTCACATAATATATCAGTATCACTATCGCTATCGTCGCCTGTTCTAATTATTATTTGTTCTATATTATTTGCAATATGGATATACGATTGTTCTGCTTTTTCTATATGTTTAACAGAATTTGCCCAACTTTGTGGAGAGATGTTAAAAACTTCGGTTTCTATAAGTTTGAGGACATTGGAGTTAACACGGGGAAAAACATTGTTACAGTTGGTGCCAAACATGTTCAATCTTTGGGAAAATAAATGTCGTTATTATACATGTAGTTTTGGATTGTTGTTTTGTGTCACATGAGGAAGGGGTTTTAGTCAACTGTCTACTGTGATAACTTGCATTGTCCATTTCAATGACGCCATTAGGAGGAATGTTTGAAACTAGTTTTTGGAATCCAACCATATTTAGAGCCAGCATGCAAAATAGTTATTCATTTACCTCTTTTTGATGGCGCGTTTGTTTTATACTTATCAGTTGAGTCAACCCAACCCTTTTCCGGGGTATCATAAGTGTCGAACCAGGTTTCATCCAAGTAGATAATTGGCCTTTGTTGTTCTCTGTAAATCCTAATTTTTTCTAGATATTCCAGGCGCCTTTTCCGAATTCTAAAAGATTTCATTAAAACTTGCCTTTCGTCATTTTTTAAAAATCTAAAACCCATGTGTTGAATACACTACCATAAGGTAGTTCTGCCACATTTAACACGGGTTTCATCTTTTTCAAGCCTCCTAATTAAGATATCTAATCTAGGCACGCTTTGTTCCTCATATAACTGGTAAATTTTACGAAGTATTATATCTTGATCACTTTCATCTACACTCGAGAAAATGTCAGCATCGCTTCTTTTTTTTCTCTCTGAAATGGGATTATTCACAATTTTCCATACAGTTGATGTTGGAATTTTCGTCAATGTGCTAAAAATGCTTGCTTTCTGGCACCACGTCCAGTGAGAGTCAAATAAATGTTGTTCCTTAGTCTCAATAGAATAGTGTTTCCTACATTTGGGCGGGAGCATCTCCTGAGATACACTAGATTTGCACATATTTTGCATAATTCGCACACGATTCAACACACGCTGTATTACACACGAAATAAGAATGATTACTAATAACTACTAATAACTAAATAGTATACCAAACCAAAGAATATTAAACACAGATAGGTATAAAATTATTTTCTATTACGGACCACAATTTTACCTGACTTTAAATTCGGAAACTTTAGGTAATAATCTTGTTGCATTGTATGTTAATGACCACCCTTGGATAATCCCATTCAAAACCAATTGGTCACTTTCTTATATCTATGAACAGACCATACCCAGTAATAGTAGGTATGAAGGTCGTAATTATTTTTTGGGGAGGGTTCGACAAAAGCCGAGGCAATATACTTTGAGACACATTTTACAATAGATTATTTGATATTCGAATGACCGTTTGGACAAATAATGCCCCAAGCCAAAAATAGTTCAAATATCATGATCACATTTACCTAGTTTTATCTAGCGGAAAATCTATTTAATGATGACAAATTATTTCCTTTCCTGTAAATAATTTGCTGCATGCAGAATTATTTCCTTTCCTGTAAATAATTTGCTGCATGCAGAATTCCATGCAAACCAAGGTTCTTTGCTGATGTTTCGAATAAATAGCAAAAGGTTAGATAGACCAATTATTCAAGTGATATATCATGGTTTTTTGTAAAAATAGGATTATTTTGCTACATTTAAATGAGGTAACCGTGCTATTTCGCTGCTTCAATGAGATACCTCGTATACAACGAGAATAACCTTCTACTGCTGCCGCCAATGGGTACACCCATGCATCTGTTACGTATTCAATTACTATCTTCGGTTAAAAAAGTGAAAGAAATGGTTGACACAATTTCCCGTGAAACACACGTTCGAACAGAATGTCAACGTGATCCGCGATAGGAATTTGAAAATCTATTTTTCGAGGTGTCGGCTGACAATAAGTGCATTCGAAAAATTTAGAAATGGTGAGAAAATTTAGCAAGTTGGTAAGCGACGCGGACATAGCGGCAGCAAAAAGTGAGTACGAGCCGATTTATTTAAACTTATGCCTGTGTGGCAAGTGTACAGGGTGCGCCAAATTGGATACTTTTACGCATTGCGCTTTGTGTTTCTAGGAAAACATTTAATGACTTAAGTATGGTATTTCATGACCAATCCGAAAAATCAATAAATAAATAAACAAATAAATGGGATATTATAGTTTATTTTCTGAGCCAGTATGACAAGAAGCTGCCAAAACATTAAACATCAATTCCCCATGATTTTCAAGAAATAATGGTTTCTAGACAATTATGCTCGTAAATTCCCAAATAAGAATTCGTGAATTAACCGAAAAATGTCTGGCAGCTCGTGGAAATCAGTGTGAACAGCTTTTTTAAGTTTATTATTTTGTGTTTTTTAATGTAAAAAAATATATTTAGCGGATTTTACAAATAAATATATACATACAGGATGTCCCATTAAAATAAAATATAACTTTAGCTTTTATCTTAAAATATGTGTATTTTACAAGAAATGTGAGAAAGCCACTGGATTCTACTTTTTTAAAAAGAAAAGTGACTTTTGGATTTTTGTTGTCACTGTTGCACTTTGTCGCGAAAAATGAGAAATAAAATTCGGTCTTTTGGTGGTTACTGATTTGCATGTTTAATAAACTCTTTATATTCTTTTTTTTTTTCTGCTGTGTATTGTTAATGCCAATTAATAAATTAAAATTTAAAACAATTAAAACTGAGGTGAATAACGATATTTAAAAAAAATGTTTATATGTTTTTGTAACAACATAACCTCAAATTGCCAAAATATCTGTTATTGGAATATGTCTGTGTTTTGTGCTCCCAGTATTCTGTTAGTTTCCGTTTATTAACTAATTAATATTTTTGTGCTTTAAATTCAATTATAAAATATGAATCAGAATATACTTGGTAAATCTACAATAAGTAGAGTAAAAGAAAATTTAGAAGTGTGAATCGATGACACCGGGTTTTCTTGGTTCTTGAAGCGGCGACAATAAAACGATATAGTTCCAAATGAAAGGAAAAAAAAAGTAAACATTTGTAGCAAGTGATGGATGAATGTTTCTGGAGAGAATATGTCTTGCAATGTGCAGCTGGCTAATTCATTTAAAAATAAAGTTAAAAATGATATTGCTGAAAATGGTTGTGCGCTTGAACAAATATGTAATTGTGACTAAACTGGTTTCTTCTATATAAGCGTCCCAATGAAACTAGTATTACAAATTTTGAAAAATCCGCTGTTGATAGAGAGATGAAATGATTGGTAAATGATTAGTAAACTTATACAATTTTTAGCGACTGGTATAATGATATATTCATATCTTCAGTAACTCGACACTCCGAATCTAAAAACTTTCCCGCAAAAGCCCGTCTCTTAGTAGATAATGCAACTTGCCATGGGTCTGAGAATAAATTTATCTACAGATAACTCGAATTTCAAAATTTTTCTCTTAGTAACACACCATTATTGCAACCATTAGATCAAACAAACAACGCTATCGCAAACATTTACTTGCTTGTCTTGCAGTCTTAGGTGCGGAAAATGGAATAATTCCAGCACTGAAAAATATAGATCTGATTGATTTGTTTATTTAGTGGTGCAGGCATAGAATAAAATTCATGTGTCAGTTCTACAAAATTCATCTAAACATCTTTTTTCGTCAAAATTTGTATAGTTTAGGTAATAAATCACACCATTTGACAATGACCACACGAAAATTCGTGACAGTAACAATATTTTTATTTGTGATTGTTACACGTTATTAATCGTGCTTTAATTAAAGCTTAATTGAAGAAAATATAACCATAATTAAGTGGTATTACGTCTTATAGGAGTGTCTGAAATGTTTTCCTGCGAAAATTATACCTTCGATTTTAATAGTTAAACGTATTATTACCCAATTCGAGCCCAAAGGTATCGTTATAAATAATTGAAAACGTCGATAATAGAGCAGATGAAAGGCACAATAGAGATTTGAACGTTTTACTGCATGTGGAGGAAAACAAAAAACGCAAATGTTTTTCCTATAAATACGAAAAGCACCAAGAGCGCCGGAAAGGCGACGAAGGAAGAAGAGTAGCATGTTGTTCTGAAAATGATTTACAAAACAAATAATGATAGTAATTTTTTTTTAAATATTTGTTGCACTGATGGATTCACACACTCAACAACGCACCAAATATTCAACACTGTCGATGTTGGAGCCAAGACAATATCGTTTTGATAATCCTCACAAAAAATAAATTATTAATATTATTGGGCCATTTTTATTCCCAAGATCGGGAAATGTGTTACCAGATGGATGGTTTTGCCGCCCATAATTGGGGAGTATTTGAGAAATACTTTTAACGGGAATATTATTGGCCCAAGGTGCCGATTCCTTTGGCCGCCCAGGTCAAATGGTTGACCAGTTACAAAACGCTATTTCCTTAGAATGTGACGGATTTCACAATATCAAGTAAGCAATGTTAGAAATGATTCTCATGATGGCATAATGGAGGGTTGTTTGAATTATTAATTATTTTTAATAAAAGGTTTGATGGTCAAATTTATAGTCGTCCCTTGAAGCTTCCTTGTTGCTTAAGCTGTTATTTGAATGAATTTATTCCAAAAACGCTTTAATTTTTAAGTAGGTCCGTTCAACGTGCGCATGCGCGAGATTTAAAATTTCGTTTTAAACCAATGGCAGCTCTGACAAATTCTGACGTGTGATCCATAAGACCTTGCGGCTTTCAGCAAAACAACATGGCCGCTGATAGATCATGGATGTTCAGATGCGGCATTGTTTTGGCAGTATTTCCTCAAATTATGTCGAAATCCTATTAAATTTTCAGGCAAAAAAGGTCTGGAAAAGCAGTGCAAAAAAGCAGCACCCACGTCGGCATCAGTGTAGATACGATGCAATTTCTACATGTATTTTTTTGTATAATCTATTTTTTTTTCTAAATCAGCGTAAAGCCTTAGTTTTCATAAACTAATTGGCTTAACCTCCATTGAAATGACTTTAAACATAAAACATTTAATTGAAAAAATGTTCAAGAAGCACCGCCTATAATAATTGACAAGTGATATTTCTTATGCTTGTTCTAGTAAAAATTAAACTTGTAGCTTAATTGCTTTGTTATATTTCCTGTAATTCCTGTACACTAAAACATATTACTTAAACATCCTTCGTAGCTATTAAAGTGTACCTAAAAATGAAAGGAATTCTGTTTTCCAGTTTATTAAATATCAAATTTATAGACATCACTTTTTATTTATTTGCCACATTTTCTATAATTTCGTGAAAGCACAAATTATACAAGTTTGTGAGTACAGTACGAAGGTATTGACACCAAAAATGAAAGCAACAATGGCACAGAGGATGTTGTTGCGTTATTATAAAAATTAATCAATTTTCCAGAAAAATTACGGCAATATAGCAACTCAGTCAGTTGGAGGGTGACGCATGCGCAATAGATCCATACCTTCTTTACGATAAAATCATAACCACCTGCAATTTTTATCATAGTAGGGCCACTATATTATCTTATAGCAATATGGTTTATCCCAAGTTCAATGCCAACTCAACTAGGCGATAAGGCGATGAACTAATTCTTTAACTTCCATGGTATTGTTGTATTATTGCATAAATATATTACACGGTAGTGAAATGAAAATTACTATAATATATAAACGTTCCTGCGTGACCAAAGGAAACTTTTCTCTTTATCAACAGGTGCTAAGTTGAAGAAACACGCTAAAATTCCGATCTACGTGGTCGAGTATCACCACGAGGTGTTACCGTTCATCTACAGAAATATCGGATCGAAGCATCTGCCGTTATACAATGCGACGATTGTCCACCTCGACTCTCATCCCGACATGCTCGTGCCTCAAATGCCGGCAGATACGGTCTTCGAAAAAGACAAACTGTTCGAAGAAGTAAGTATCGAGAATTGGATTTTGCCGGCCGCGTACGCCGGCCATTTCGACAATATTATCTGGATCAAACCGCCGTGGGCCGAGCAAATTCGAGACTCGAGTCAACATTTTACGATAGGTAAAGATAAACGGACCGGTACCATTAAACTCGATTGCAAAGAGAACTACTTCATCTACGAGTGTTTGTATAGGAACAAATCCGACCTAGAAAACCAGAGAGTTATTAATTTGGACGTCGTGACGATTGGAAAAGAACTCAGTAACGAAATCGACAACTTGGAACCAGTGAGTGACGTGTGCAAAAAGTACAACGCTCCTTACGTGTTAGATATCGATTTGGATTTTTTCAGCACTAGTAATCCGTTTAAAAAAATGTACGATAAGGCGAATTTGTACGAGCGTTTGAAGGATATTTATCGTATCGCACCTCCGAAATCGAAAGAGGATAGAGACGTGATACGGTTCACGCGGGAAAGAGAAAAACAAATTGAATATTTGGGAAAGGTTTTTAAGCATTTGGAGGATCACAGGGAGTTGGCCGTCGAGGAAAACCCTTCGGAAACGTACAGCAAAATCAGACAGCTGCGGGAAGTCATGCTAGAGAATTACACGGATAAAGAAATTTTGTGGGATTTGGTGCACGATTCCGGATGCACGTGTGACGATTCGGAGTTGCCGCATCACGTGTCGTCCGAAACGGAGTTGGAAATCATGTTTCGAGCTTTCCGAAATTTCTTAGAAGCGTTGCCCACGGCGCCAGTTATCGTAACGATATCGAGATCGACTGAGGACGACTACACGCCCAGCGAAGACGTGGCGCTCATACAAAATACCGTCGTCGGTATTTTAAAAGAAAAATTCACTTGCGACGAGCCGAATTTGAACTACGAAGAACAGAGTGATTAAGTTTGACGTTCGATTGTATTGGCGATTTGAAAATTCTATCAGACCTCTGGCAGAAAAACTGTTATGCTCGTTCGGAGGTAAAATTTGAAATGGTTTCGTAGTTTTCATATATGAGGTTCATGTTGTTCACGTTGTGTTGCTATGTTGATATTGCTTAAAAAATACATGGTTCATTTGGTATCGTTCATTCGCGAATTCATCCCAGTCTCGAATATTAAAATAAAAACATAAAATAACAATTATCCTAATCATTAGAGTTCGGATTTTTATGCACGAAATGCAAGAAATGGTTAAAATATGCGCATAAATATGTCTGTTTTTTTTCAAAAAATATGTCAAATATATACTTTTTCTACCATCTATGTACTTTTATGCCCTTTATTTTTTACATATATTGTTGACTCAAAATCAAAGAAAGAGTAGTCAAACAATGAAAAAAATTACACTTGAAGAGATGCTTTAACAATTTTTTTTTACGTTCGGACGCTTGGACAGCAAATAAAATGTTTAAAAAGCTTGGAAAAATTCGAAAGTACGTATGAAGACGAGGGATGTATTTCATTCAATCACAAGCACCATCAGTGATAATTTTCAGAAGATGTTGTTAAAATCACATTAGATAAAAGCGTCAAACAAGAAAAGGGACGAGGGCTTAATTCTTAGGTAACGGGATTTGAAGGCTATAAATAGAAAGTCCAGAATATTGCAGATACATTTAATTTTTAATCTTATCCGTTTGGAAAATCCCAGTAATAAATGAATGGGTCAAAAATATGGGATTTTATGTTAAAAAAATACACAATATTTACTTTATGCACAACTAACATTTTATGCGAAATATGTAATTTTTTTATATCCTTAATCTAATTATTTCGTTCTAGAACAGGTATATCCAAAATATTGGGTTGATATTCCTAATAATAAAATGCATAAAATCCTAACTCTACTAATCATAATAGCCTTTGATGTAAAAATTGTATTCTTTAAACCTACCTACCTACCTCACTTTTAGAAAACTGTAGCAACGATTGTTTTTAACTTTGTTTGTTAGCTTCTAAATGATAATGCAAAAATATCCTTTGAATTATGGATATCTGGAGTAGAACACATTAAAATCACACGCTTTTAATGTAATATGGTTTCGCCCTCTTCAAAACACCGATTTCAGTGTTGCAGTTTAAAGACGTTAATATATATTTCATCGTTTTTGGACCATTATCCACCAACATAACACCGCAATAAATGATAACAGCCACGAATAGTGCTTTATCGTCACTTATCTAGTTAGAATGAGCCGGTCAAAGCTTTAAAACTAAAATGGCCATGTTCGTCCACTGCCATGTTTGCAGCGTCACCATGGAAGAATAAATTCGCTAATAGTCACATAATTACTTGCGTCTAAACTGGAATGGCAACTGCACGACGCGAAATATGTGTTATTCTTGCTTCCTTCATACGCAGATTAACAATTTTCCCGACAGAGGTCTCACTGAATTGTGACATCGCCCATAATAAACAAAAATAATTTGTTAAACACTCTAACTTGCCCATTAGCACAGGTATGATGTCTGTGGTCGAGAAATTTAGAATTAATTATTTATTGTCTGTAGTGGAAATATTTGTTTTAAACCTAAATAAATTGAATCTTACGTGTGCATAATGGTTGCTTATTTTATCAAGTGTCGAAGATCTTCTCTATGCTGAACAATCTGATAGAGAGCCTGTTGCCAAATTTCGGCATGAATGGCAATTAAGTGCCATGGAGCTTACATTTTCTTCCAGAACTTTGGAAAGATTCGACGATTATCCATCTCGACTCTCATACTCCTGCTTCAAGTAAGTATTAGGAATTGGATATTGTTTACGTCTGCCATTTCGAAAATATTGAGTATAAGAAGTGGACCAAGCAAATTCGAGATTCGATTCAAAGTTTTACAGTAGGTAAACATAAATGGACCTGCACCATTAGACACGGATTACAAAGGGAACTACTTCACACACGAGTGTTTGTAAAGGAACAAATCCGATCTGGAAAACCAGAGAATTGTTAAGTTCGACATCTTGATGATAGAAAGATGAAGAAGAAAGAAAAATAAATCGAATATTTGGGAAACGTTTGTAAATATTTGCAGGATCACAGGAGTTGACAGTTGAGGAAAACCTCGCGGAAACTTAGGACAAAATTGTGCGGTTGAGGCAAGTCATGCCGGTGGATTACATGGATAAACAAATTTTTCAAAATGTTGTTCGACCGAGCACGACTAAAATATCGTCGTCGGTATTTTAAAAGAAAAAATCAGTTGCGACTAGCCGAATTTGCGACTACGAAGAACAGAGTGATTAACTTTGGCTTTTGTTTGTGTTGTAACGGAAAAATGTCAAGCTCATTCGGAGGTAAAATTTGGAAAGGCAGCGTAGCATTCATATTTGGTATCGTTCGCGAATCAGTGCCTAACTGCCTTTGATGTAGGAATTGACGTCTTGAATCCTGCGTAGCACACTTTCAGAAAATTGCAGCAATGAGTTCTTTGTTAGCTTGAAGTTACAATACAAAAATATCCTTTGAGTTAATCGGTCTCTGAAGTAGGCTAAACACCAACGTCCGCATTACAATTTAAGTAAGATATATATATTTCACCATTCTTGGGCCGTTATTCTCACACAACACGCTACAAACAGAGCCAGGAATAATGCTTTATTGTTTAGTGTCACCCGTGTCACCAACGCAATTAAATTCGCTAATAGACAGATAATTTTTTGCATCTACACTGGACTGGCAACTGCACATGGCGAAACGTGTTTTGTCATTTTTTTCCTTTCTGATTCGTTACCGCTGAAACGGACTGAAAGCGTTTGTTGTACATTTGGGGTCTGCTTTAGTGCTCTGTGTTGATATTTTAAATATATTGTTTATTAAAAAATGCTACACTGCTATTAACTTAACAAGAAGATGACTACGAAACACGACAATGGAAAAACAACTATGTAATATTAACACAGAAGTTATTTAAGTTTGTTTAATTTGTAAGAATGAAACAAATTCCAGATGGACAAAGACTTTTAAGAAACAGTACTAACGAATTATAGAAAAAATTTTAAAAAAATTGTACCGTTAGGGTTAGACAATGGTTTTATCAAGAAGTCGCACTTTTTTATAGTATTTTTTTAGAATTGCAAATGACAAACCCTCATTTTAATTTGTTTTATTTGCTGTTAGTGTTTCCTGGAATATGTGGTTTATTTTTTTGAAAAACTCATATGAAAACCACTCAAACATTCCAAATTCTATTTTCAATTGCCGAGTCTATTGTCAGAACAAGCGTCTGTAGTTCCAAATAGTTTTTTACAGTCCAATAAATTTTGTCAATAATAATGCAAGTAAAAACTTAAAGACTTTTCAAAATTTTAAGATAAACCGCCCTATAATGCTAAGCTAAAACAAACAGTTTGACAACTAACTAAATATAAATATAATTAATAAACGTGGCCCTACTTTGTAGTGGTATATTCTAGGCATGGGAAATGCACATTTGTGGAACTTTGTATTTTTTTATATTGTAAAAGTTGTTTTCTGATTATATTAATTCACTAATCCTTCGCTTAACCTTCTCAAAAACTCTCTACCAGTAATATACATTTTTGCAGAGAAAATCTACTATTTTAATATGTCCCACTAAATTAAAACATGCTGGTCAACAAAACCCAAATCAAATCGTCCAACATTGATCTACTTTATAAAAATAGCTGTTGTTCTGCCTTGAGTTGCAAATTAATCGAATCTTAAATAGATGCTAGACACCTGTTTCGAAATGATTTTCAAATCTTGCATAATTTACAATGACAGAAAAGGATAGATAAATCACATTTTATATTGTACCGGACGTCCTAATACCCGCAGCGCATTAATGGAACGGACGGCTCTATAAATGTTCACCAGGGGCATTAATTGGCATTTTGATTTTTAATCCCCGTTTGAAATTGAAAACAGTTGCTCTCTATCCATGAAATAAAAGTGGTGAGGGGTGTTCGAACATATTCTTAAATAAAAGTTAATAACTCCAAAAAGGCTTAGCGCAGTTTAATAAACATACATCAGTCGTAGTGCAATTGCGATTATTTGCTTTGCCACTAGATGGCGCTTCCTAAGCAAAATAAATAATTTTATGAAAAAAAAAAAACGATATAACTTTTTTTCATTAGTCAAATAAGGATCAGCCGCTCCAATGAAAACTCCATATTAGCATTTTTATATCAACCTAAAGTATAAATAAAAGATCTTAAAACTGAGAGATAGAAGACTCGTCCGACAACAATAAATGCTGTAAAATCACTGAATGAAACACACTTAATCGAAAAATCAGAACAACGGAAAGAAACACCTGAGGAAGACTTGAAGATATTATTATATTTTGATGGCAGGATTTTACATTATTTACCTTGCCACCAGATGGCGTTTTCTGACATAATGCCAAAAAAAAGTTATAAAAAAAATATTTTACTACGATGACGACACAGTGGAACCCCTGAAAGGTCAATCCTGATGCAGTTATTTTCGAGGGTGGCATAAAATTCATTTAGTTCTGTTAGCTTTTGTCATCTGGATTAATTAGATAATCAGTGGCCCTACTACGGTAAAATGTGTATTTGGTATGGTCCTCACAATATGCTGCCAGCCAACAATTTGTTTTGCGATAGATATCCCTTTTCGTTAGAAAGGCATTAAGATTTCCATGAAATAGCCCAGATGTTACTTTACTTCTTTTGATGGGGCTATCTTAATAGTCCCCGAACAATCCAAATGTTAGAAGAAAAAATAAGACGGGCAATCGCTAATCAGTCTATATGCAAAGCAGTTTATACAAAATTTCTAAGAATTATTCAAACATGTACCATTTTATACAAAAAAAGCATGAACGTGTCAAAGTTTAACGTTTCCCAATTTTTTGACACGTTCGACCAAAAATTCTTGAAGTTTGATAAAATTCTTACAACTTTTTAATTTGCACTTTTTTGTCTCTTTCGGTTGATCCTGTAGAAATGATATAGTGATGACACTATATTCCGGGATATCATCCGTTCGCTCGTTGAACTCCGACTGGAATCCTGCAAATCCTGCATCCGACTGGAATCCTGCAGACGTTTCGCCAAAATCTCACTTGGCATCTTCACTGCTCGCGCTCCGAAAACACTTCGAACACTGGGAGGTTATCGGCGGTGCGTGCGGTATTTATACTCTGCGCCGGAGATGGTAACGGTGCTGCTTGTGCGTGGGGGGAGGTGGCTCCGCCCCCTGAATTGTCGCGTTGTTAATTTCGCCCGATCGTAGTTGCGATGTCCCCGTTGGCTGCTGCGCATGGCTCTGCTGTTTGATTATCGTTCTCCACGTGTTGGGTAAATGCAGAGCGTCGTCTCTCGTATTGAGGTGTCCGGACTTTTCTATTTCGATGGCCTCTCGTATAATCCTAGTCCTAAAATCAGGAATATTAGCTATTTGTTTGCAAGTGCCGAAATCAATTTTATGGCCTGTCTGATGTTGGTGCTGAAACAAAGCAGATGTTTGTTTGTAAACGATGTTGATATATATATATATATATATATATATATATATATATATATATATATATATATATATATATATATATATATATATACAGTGTGTCCAAGATAAGGATGCACAGCATGGGGATCTCGGAAACTATAAGAGATACAGTGTCGGTTAAATTAGACAAAAGTTGCGCATTTTGATACCGAACAAGATCCCGTTTTACAAATTTGAAAATTCCAAGCCGTTCCGGAAATATCCGAGAAAAACCGAAATATTGCGATTTCGTTTTTATTATTTTTTAAAGCTATTTGAAAAGATATGAAAAAACGGAAAACACTTTTCCATTGGCACTTTTTAATCTCTCCAAATTGACGTTAACAAATTTTCATTACAGCGTTTCGATTCCATGGAACGACCATCAACTTTGATTTTTCTTATGGGACGGAAAAAAAGTACACACAGTATTAGGTTGTGCTTTTCATTGCGAATTCAACGATGTACGATACAATATGGTTACTTATGTTTTTATCCAGAAAAATGGATTTTTAATACATTTCAGCATTTAAATGGAGTAGGCCATGACAAAATGACATCCAGTCAATTTCAATGACACATTAATGTTATTTGTCTTTGTTATCAGTCGATCATAAGTTTATTCCTTTAGTTATTGTTTTTGTATTTTTATTGTTGTTGTCTTTTTCTAATTTATTTTGTTCTACAATGGAGGGAGGTAATTTTACAAACGAAGAAAAATGTGATATGCTGTCTTGCTACATCTGATGCCAAAGAAATTGTGTGGAAGCCGAGCGTATGTATTCTAACAAATACCCAGAGCGGAGACAACCTGACAAGAGTATTTTTCGGCGTTTGTTATTTAATCTGAAAGAATATGGATCATTTAAGAAGCCTGCATTATCCCGACAAAAACCTTCCAATGAAGAAAACCAATACATTGTTCTACAATCTGTTATCGAAAATCCACAAACTTCTACCAGAGAAATTGAAGACCAGAATGGGGTAGCTAAATCTACAGCTCAGTTTATTTTAAGGAAAAATGAATTTAAGCCTTACAAATTCAGAATATGTCAAGGATTAAAACCGGGTGACGACGAACGACGTAGACATTTTTGTGAGTGGTATACCAGGATGTGTGATGAGAGTTTTAATTTTCCATATAAAGTGATTTGGTCTGATGAAAGTATGGTGACCAATAACGGTATTTATAACAGGCGCAATACACACTATTGGTCGCAACAAAATCCACGTGTTAATAGACTATCCAGACATCAAGTTCGCTTTGGGTTTAATATTTGGTGTGGGATTTTTGGTAGCAAGATTATAGGCCCTATTTTCTATAATAATTCCTTAACTTCCGAGCGGTACCTTGACATCTTGAGGCACGATTTAGAAGATGCCTTAGATGATTTACCGCTAGGCGCTGTGCAAGGCTGCTGGTTCCAACAAGATGGTGCCCCAGCCCATAACTCCAGAGAAGTTCGCCAATATTTAACTGAACGGTTTGATGGAAAATACATTGGGACTTACAGTGAAACACCTTGGCCTCCAAGGTCCCCGGACTTAACTCCCTTGGACTTTTTCTTATGGGGCAACATAAAAAATGAGGTATTCAAAGAATGTTTTGACAACGAGGAACAATTACGTCAATCAGTACGAGCAGCGTTTAATAAAATTACTCCTGAAATGTTAAGTCGTGTTTTGGAGTCTACCGTGAGACGGGCGTACTTATGCCTAGAAAATGGAGGTCATTTATTCGAACATTTGTTATAGAATTTGTTTTTCATTAACTTGTTGGATTTAGTTGTTATGTTAAATGAACAGTTAGAGTTAGTAAATAAATAAACACATTAACTCGAACTTGTCAACCATTTTCTTTTGCCTTTCATCGTTCGGATCTCATGGCCTACTACAATAAAATACTAGAAATGTATTAAAAAGCCATTTTTCTGGATAAAAACATAAGTAACCGTATTGTATCGTACATCGTTGAATTCGCAATGAAAAGCACAACCTAATACTGTGTGTACTTTTTTTCCGTCCCATAAGAAAAATCAAAGTTGATGGTGGTTCCATGGAATCGAAACGCTGTAATGAAAATTTGTTAACGTCAATTTGAAGAGATTAAAAAGTGCCAATGGAAAAGTGTTTTCCGTTTTTTCATATCTTTTCAAATAGCTTTAAAAAATAATAAAAACGAAATCGCAATATTTCGGTTTTTCTCGGATATTTCCGGAACGGCTTGGAATTTTCAAATTTGTAAAACGGGATCTTGTTCGGTATCAAAATGCGCAACTTTTGTCTAATTTAAACGACACTGTATCTCTTATAGTTTCCGAGATCCCCATGCTGTGCATCCTTATCTTGGACACACTG